ACTTTCTTTAAAGTTCAGCGGCAAGACTCAGGACTTTAATAAAAATAAAAAGTGGGTGCAGTTTTTAAACCAATGAATCACAATATATTGTTTTATTAAACTTCCATATTTTCTTATTTCTTTGAGAGTGGGTAGGTAATCCAAAAATGTAGAGCACACCACAACCAAAACATATTTTGGTTTGATGAAATAAGTTGCGCAATACCATTTTCAAATTTTAAGAACTAAACCATTATAGGGAAAAATTTGAAAATATTAAATAAATTATTATAATGTAATATAAATACAATCTTACATATTTACTCTTAAACTTTTATGTTTATAACAACGAACACTACATTTTATTTAATAATATTCAAACAACAAAATACTTAAAAAAAAATGGTCTTTTTAATCTGAAACAATATGTTTACATTGTAAAAAAGTGCTTTCAAATAGGGTAAAAACAGTTTTGTGCAACATACATCGCAGGTCATTGTTGGGCATTTATGTTTAAACTTAAATTGAGATTTAGATTTTCATTTTATTTTAAACTTATAATATTTCATCACGAATCAAACAACTCTCTGACAATTAATACAGATTTCATCATGAGTCTAATAAATCTCTGAGAGCTAGTACAGATTTCATCACGAGTCTGACAATTCTCTGACAATTAATACAGATTTCATCATGAGTCTAATAAATCTCTGACAGCTACTACAGATTTCATCACGAGTCTAACAATTCTCTGATAATTAATACAGATTTCATCATGAGTCTAACAAATCTCTGACAATTAGTACAGATTTTATCAGGAGTCTAACAAATGTGCCTTGCATAAAACAGGTATGAATGCAAGGTATTGTTCTGGATATATCAAAAGTTTTAAAATGACTCTGGCATGCTATTATTATCTAGGAAACTTTTTTATAATTATTGAATTATTTCTTTCTAATTTATGTTATTTATAAGTAAATTATGTTCATTATTCTAGTTTATGCTGATAATGAACAATGCTTTCCTTCATTTCCAGTAACTTAAATCACAAAGATAGTACAACAATTCCATCCTTGGTCTTGTTTCAGCTTATCTTGAATGTGATTGTTTAGATTTATTTCTAATAATTATCATACTGTTGTAGATATTTATATATTGATTGATAATTGTCTAAGATTCATTAGAGTTTTTTTTGATAATTATCTAAAAGACTCTTTTTGGATAATCGTCTAAAAGACTTCTTTAGATAACTGTTTAAAAAAGTCTTTTTGGATAATTTCTTAGAAGAGAGGCGTAAAAGAGATTATAATAGAAATTCTTTTAGACAATCATCTTAAAATCACTAAAATGACATTGTTGCTAGACCTGTTTGAGCTGCCTAGCTCAAGCTTCTGTATTATGGTTGCATATCTTTCTCTTTTCAACAAATACTACAATTGTTGCTATTTAAATAAGCTATCATCAGTTGTTCCATTAACCAATTTCACATAAGTTGTTATTCAAAAAAGTTGCTTTTTACTGTAACTGATACTTGATACTCAAATAAATGTTTTTTTGTCTATTTTTTTTCCATAGACATTTAGAATTAATTTTAGAAATTAGCGCTTTAGAATTCTCTCTTCTCTTCATACCTCCTTACTCATACAATTTACATTTTTTTTTTACAATTAAAAACACTTTCTGTTAACTTTTAACTTTGATTGATTGCTTGAAGCTTTGAGAGTGAATTCATTTTTTCAAATTGTTTTACATTTTTAAAATTAACTGTGCTTGTAAAAATAGTGTTTTGTAAAAATAAAGCTTTATTATTTATTTTTATAGATACAATGAGTTAGTTTAAACAAACCTGATATCATGAAGAAAATAGGAGTAAAACATACTTATATTGTTTTGAAAAAATAATAAAAAATCCAGTTAATTTTAATGAAAAATATTTGCTAATGTTTAATAAATACTAATGTTTTCTAAAAATAAATAAAAAATTGTAAATAAAATAACATTTTTTTTTTTATAATTTTGCTTTAAATTTGAGAAAATAATTTCATAATACATTAACAAAAAAAATTAACTTTGAATAAATAATATAAAAAATCATATATATTGAGCAACTTAGCAATGCTCATTCGTGTATGCTTACACAAAGCTCACAGCAGCCATTAAACCATTGAATTTTATAAATTGAAAATAGTAAAAATAAGAAATAAGTAGAAAGTTTATAGATAATATCTACAAATTTTATTATTAATTTACAGTCAAAACATTTTTATATAAAAAAATGTGACATAAAAAATATAAAAAGTTTTTTTATAGTTTTTCACAAACTCTGAATAATGTAGAAAAGCAATTCTAATAAGATTTTAACAACAAAATTTTAACAAAAGCTATTTCATTAAACTAAAATTGTGTTTGACATAATGTGAGATAAGATACTTTAGTACCTGTTTAGTTGCTCTGGGAATTGATGGATTTGTTCATGTTGTTTAAATTCTCATTGAGACAAATTGACAATTGGACACCAAATTCACGTAAGGACAAAGTTTATTTTTACCTTCAAATATGCGTCTTTCAAGCATCATATTCCTACTCTTGGTACTGGAAATTCAATTTGATACTTGGCTTCAAAGTGGTCAGACACAAGCATGCTGAGGTTTGGTTGTCAGAAGCCATCTTCTTTTTCCATTATGTAGTTGTGTGAGGGTTTGTTCCCTTATTGTCATACAATCATTACTTAACATTTATCTGTGCTTAAGTATCATTAGCCGTTTTTCAGACTTATTACTGATTTACTGATTTTTCAATGTTATTTTGCACAGAAACTGTGTATTTTTTCAAGCATTGGTTAATAATTTGCTATGATAAGGAGTATTATAAGAAAAATTGTTAATAAAGATTAAAATGTGTTTTATTTGCCCTTTATATGAAAATTTTTAATTTTGAGTTATAGAATAAATAATTTTCAAAAGATCTAAAAGTAAACACAGACATGGTATTGATCATGTAGTTGAAAAATGCTTGTCTATCACATCTACAGTGCTCTATACCACATTTTTTATTAATATGACTAAATTTATGAGGATTTAGAAGTATGACTAAATTTAAGAGGATTTAGAAATATGACTAAATTTAAGAGGATTTAGAAATATGACTAAATTTATAAGGATTTAAAAAAAAAATCATAAGCTGACTAAATAATAATCTTTAAATTAGTTTGTAAAAAATTTTTTTATAATAATATATAATTTTTTTATAGACATGAGATTTTAGTTTTTGATGTCAATTGTTGAAAAGTGTGGTTGGAGTAAGTTCAAAACTGATTTCAATTATTTGTTTTTGAAACAATTTTTTGCAAGTTTTTTTAGTTCTGGACTATTAAAACCTAAGTATTGGTCAATAATTAAATTATTTATGGTTAGTAATTCATTATTTTTGTTAATTTTAGTCCACAAATCCTGACTTGTATCTGGACAAGTCTTTAGACTTAACCCTAAGAAAATGTAGAGAAGAAAAAACCTTACTTCTTTATTCTACACATTCTCAGGGAGAGATAGCAGCAATTGAAAATGTTTCAATTGAAAATGTTTCAACTCAGTAGTGAATCAAATTAAAAAAAAATATTATACAAATGTGCCTCTAGAACCAGACTGTGTTGGCAAAAGTGGCAGAAAAAGGATCACTACTCCATGTTGTGACCCTAAAATTAGGGACAATTGTTTTTAAAACAAGAAGAAAAAAAGAAGGTTCGACTAGCTACAATAATAAACAATAAAGCAATTATTGTCTCCAAAAGAGTGGTCTGGAGAAGGGTGGCTGAAGATATTTTAATGGGTTATTGTCCAACCAAAAAACCACGTTTAAATGAAGTCATGAAAAAAGGAACTGAAATGGGATAGAAAAGACCAAATTATGACTATTGAAGACTGGAGTAGAGTAAATATAACTTATAATATTGTAAAAAACCAGAAAACAATAGCTTTATAATTTAAAATATCTTTGTAATGTTCAGTTTAATTGAGTAAATATTTCTTTGAAAAACCCATCAGAAAGATTTAACCAGGACTGAGAAAAATTCTACCTTTTGGAAAAATTAAACATCCTGCAAGCATTATGGCCTGGACTGTAATTTCAGCCATGGGTATGGGCTGCCTCTAAATTGTGGAAGGGACCATGAAGCAGAACCAGTACAAGCAAATACTGGTAAACAGGCTCTTGCCCCAGGTCCAAGAATGGTTCCTTTGTAATGAAGATTATATGTTCATGCATGACTCGGCAGCATACCATAAGACTAGTGTTACAGCATTACTAACTAAACAATTTGTGCACGTTTTGTCTTAGCTGGGTAATGCAACTGATATGAACCCCTTAGAAAATCTATGGGAGTTCACAAAACAGGAATTTGCCAATAAAATCATCTCTCCAAGCAGCATTTGATAGAAGCTCTTATAAGCCAGCCGCATAACAACCTCAGTCTCCAACACAATGCAAAAAACTGCATAGAAAGTATGCCCCAGTGTCTGTACGCCATTATTGTAGCAAAGGGTTGGCATTACAAAATATTAAGATTAGTACCTTATTTGTTATGTTTTAACTTTTTTTTTTTAATAAATAGCTATGAGTAAGTAATTATGTTGTTTTATATTCTAAATAGAGCCCTTTAACAATAAAAATAATAAAAAAATAACTACAAGATATGTATTTATTCATTAAAGTAGTTTAAACTTTAAAATTACTAAAAAAGTTAAGTGTACCTAATAATTTGGCCACCCACTGTAACTTTTATTGCATATTACATAATTTGTGAAGGCAATAAAATGAAAACTTGATAACAACTAATGTGAAATGTAAGAAGTTACAGGGTTATTCATTTTTATATGCGCATCTATTCATTTTTATATGCACCTTTATTCATTCTTATATGCACATTTATTCATTTTTATATGCGCATTTATTCATTCTTATATGCGCATTTATTCATTCTTATATGCGTTTTAAAAATGCAATTTGAACAAAAAAAATCATTTTACAAGTAAGCAATTTGTTTTGAAAAAAAAATTTATTTTTTCAAAACAAATTTTTTTTATTTCCTGGTAAACAAGGTTAAAAATACTTAAAGCGAAGACTTTTTACATTCGAGGATGGTTTATTTAATTTAGTATTAGGTCTTTGTTTAATTTTATTATTAAATTTATTGATTGATTAAATTATTATTTATCTAAATACTCATTTATCTAGATTTAAATTTAATTATTTCTAATTATTAAATCAGCGCTTGACAACCATTTTTTAAATAAATTGCAGTGGCAACAACCTAATTTATATTTTAAATATATCTATCAAAAAACATTAAAAAATTAATGCCAATTTATTGTTTATATAAAACTATATTAGATATTTTATGGGTGGTTGACTTGCATATAAACGTGCATAAGATGAATAAATGCGCAAATAAAAATGAATAAATGCGCATATAAGAACGAATAAATGCGCATATAAGAATGAATAAATGCGCATATAAGAATGAATAAATGCACATATAAGAACAAATAAATGCGCATATAAGAATGAATAAATGCGCATATAAGAATGAATAAACACGCATATAATGAATAGACGCGCATATAAGAATGAATAACCTTGTAATTACAGCTTCCTTTTCTTTGTTTCAGGTCATAAATCTTCAACTACTTTGAACGATGATAGCACAGCAAGGTATTATTTTCAGCAATATGATGTCTCAGTTGATATAATAAACATATATATAAGATTTATAGTTTTTTAAGATTTAAGGCTTTGTGTTTTTCCAGCCAAAAATGTAAATACAATTTATTTACTTTTCAATTAACTTTTTTGGAAAGACTCATAAAGCTATCAATTAGCTAACCAAGTTTTTAGGATTTAATAAAATTCAAAACTTTCAAAATTAATTATTTATTATAAACATTTTTAATAAAACAAACTTTTTCTAATAATGAAACATCATTAAAATTATTGTTTTGGGAAGTTTTAGAAAATTTTCTTTAGCCTCACTGTGCAAGGTATAAAATATAAACAAATATAAAATAAAAAACAAACTTCAAAGACACAGAACCAGAAGAAGAAGAAAAGACAAATTAAACTTTAAAGGTATGGTATTGTAAAATAAATAAGCATAAAATAAAAATTAACTTCTGAATTATAAAATATGAAGAAGCTAAAAGTACAAACTAAAAAAATTTAGAATTAGAATATCAAGGAAAATAAAGTGCAAATTATTTTCTCTTAGATAGAAAAGTACATATAAAGGAGAGCAAAAATACTGTTAAAAAAAATATGGAATGATTTCCTAAGAGAGTAAACGAAAGGGAAAACAAAAAAACAAGGTTTATACTTAAGCAAAGAATAAAATAAAAAAAAATATTATTATTATTTTTTAAAATTGATGATAAAAGTAATTTATAATATAAGATAATTTTATAAGCATTAAAACACAAACCTGTAAAGACTTCAGAAATGTCCAAATAAGTATTCTGATTGGACGAACTCTTTGCATAAGTTTAATAAAACGAAAAGCACGGAAGAGAGAAAATATACTTGTATCAAACAATCCTTGAGTTTCCTAAACAAAAATTAACTTTACAAAAATATATATGAATTTAATCTTGCACGTAACATTTAAATATGATCTTAATCGCAATAGTGACCTCCACGCAATAAAAAAATCATAGATTTCACGCAATGAAAAAATCATAGATTTCACGCAATGAAAAAATCATAGATTTCACGCAATAAAAATCATAGATTCCATGCAATAAAAATGTTTCAATCATAAGATCTATTGAGTTTTCAACTTGAAAAGCAATTTTTTATAAACATCGCCAAAAACAAAGGAAACTAATATTGTTTAATCAAATGATATTAAATAAGTTGTAAAAACAATAAACAATCGATTATTTTTTTTACAATTTACCAGGGTCAAATTTACAAATTGATGGAATTTAGGCTGTGTAATTTTAATGATTTTAAGTTTAAAAAAATTCAGAATTTAAATAAAAGTAAAAACTTATATACAAAAAATTTAATTTTGACACAAAAGATATAAAATTATACATGATATATATAATTTTTAAAGATTTTAAACTGTTTTTATTTCTGTTTTTATTCATTTAGCAGCGTTATTTTATTTGCACAGTAAAAGTTTTATTCTTAAAATATTCTTCTTAATTTTTATATTTGAATCTTCTTAAACAACTGTTTATTTTAGTTTTAATTTTAGCATAATATTATTACCATGGCTACAAGTTGTCAAGATTTTTGGTTATTAATACACTATAAAATAACAAATATATATTTTAATTTACATATGTGATGTGTACTTTCACATAATAATATGATATTACAAAATTTTTTAATATATTTATTTTGTTTAAACTTTAAATATTTTCATGTTTTCAAATTGTTATCATACTTATCATGTGGTAACTGGAGTCACTGAGGCAATAACAAATAGCAGGTTATTTTTTTAACCTAACTAAATATTTAGGAAATATGGACTGACAGTAAAAGAAACATTTAGCAATATAGACTGATATTAAAGAAACATTAAGAAACATAGATCAATGTTGAAGAAACATAAGAAACAGAAGCTAATATTAAAGAAATAAAAGAAATATAAACCTATTGAAGGGTGTTTTTAAATAGGTCTGGAACTCAAAGTATATTCTTACTATGAATTAGATATATTGATTAAATTTTTGGCTCAAAATTTTGTCTTTCAAATTTTAGTCAGAGTATAATTATAATATCATATAATAATAACATATATTAAATTAATATTTAAATTATGTATTCTACACTAGGGTTTCTCATTTCCAGTAAATTTAGCATTCTGGGATTCCCGGTGTGTAACTTATTTATCCCAAGATTTCCCGGCATAATTTTTAATATAATAACAAGTGGTTTCTGGCACAAATTTATCTTAGCACGCTAATCTATATTACTATTTAAAACAAAATATTGTTTTAAAAAACATAAAAAATCAAGTGATTTGTCACTTAACCATGAACAAATTTTTCCCATAAATAGACTTGCCGCCGAAAAAACTCTTTCTGATTCAATTGATGGTCATTAATGTTGAGTATATTCTTTCTTAACTTTTGCTAGGCTTTCCAGTTGCCTCAAAAAGTTTGATTTCTTTTGTGAGGTTTTTTAAATTGCTAATGTTTTTTAGAGCTGCTTTTTTTACTTGTTTGACATTACAAATAGTCACATCCAATTTTTGTTCAAGTGTCAAAATACTTTTGCCTAATAAATTTAGAGCAACAGGTTGAGGTATTGACGGGTCAGAAACCATGCTTTCATAATCATGACTCACTTCAACTATTTCATTATTTGATAAACTAGTGCTAACATCCTCTATATATAACCTGGTATAAATTTTATGTCATTCATAATCGCATATTCATCTGGAGATATTCAGAACTTCTTTTAAATCGATCATTGATTTTAGTATACATGTTTTTACATTAAGGAATCTTTCTAGCATTGCAACAAGACTATTCCACCTTGTTTTGACATCTAATACCAGTTAAGTTCTTTATGAAACATAGATTTTACGTACATTTGTAAAACTGCATTTTCAAGAGGTGATTTGTGCAACATTCAAACCACTTTTCAAACCTTCTGAATTGTTTAGGCTATATTTACGTTATTTTGTAAATCATCAATAAAAGTAATGCCTGTTGAGCTGTATGACTCATCATTACATTACATCATCAAACTCATCGTAATCACTCAAATTTTCATCGGAATTTTGAAACTGCGATTCAAATTCAATATATTTTGCTAAAGAGTCTGACTTTTTGTAAAGAACATCACATACTGCCAAATGAAGTGTGTGGGCCTAACACAGGTAATGCTCAATACCACTTAGTCATCCAAATTTTTTCATTACGGATGCTCTGTCAGTGACACTAGCTAAGATGTGCTTTTTAATAGATAAACTGAAATCTGACAGTTTATTTTTAACTAGGTCAACAATTTTTTCCGCAGGAAGTGATCCAGCTATTGAAGTCATTTCCAGGTTCCAAAACTTTGTTGATAAATGTATATTTACATTTAAATAACATGGATTTTTGGAAGACATATATTTGTCTAACAATAAAGAAAACTGCTAGATATTTCTTTTTTATCTCTAAAACCACAGTTTGTTTAGCTAAATCATATTGTTTTTTTATCATACCCATAACATGGGATGGATTTTTTGGTAATAACATGCCTTTTTCAGAAAATGATTTTCTTAAGAATTCACTTTTTGTTATGGCATTATTGAGAAGCCATCCACCGTTGCTAGCATTGATACAATTTCCTCAATAGTCTACTGTTTAACAAACAATTTGATTTTCTTTTGCACAATTTTAATTTCCAAACCTGTATCTTCATGGAGATGCTTCATATTTAAATCCAAATCTTTATGAGCGTTTTTTAAATGACGTAGGAGCCCACTTGTCAAAAAAATCCTTTGCACATCTTTGAATTGCACTTTTTGCAAATTGCAGATTCGCCAGATTTTTCTTTACAAAAATACTGCCATGCTTACCATCCATTTACAATTACATGGTATAACTAAATTGAATCGTAAAATAACTAAAAGTAAAGTTACAAATATTTCTTACATATGTATGTTATCTTATGTATGACTTTAAATGTCTTTGTTTTATCTTTGTTTAAATACAAAAATTATTAAATATTTTAATGATTCAATACAGAAAAAGTTTAATTTTTCAATAATTTAGAAGTTTAAAAATCAAACTTACTGTGTTCGTTGCAAGAAATCTTTTTTATTTTTTACTCATATTTTATAATAGCAAGAAAAAAAACAAAAAAACATCGCATTGCAATGCATTCCTTGAGTTAGATAGTTTAAGATAGTTTCAATAACATTTCTTGTTGTGCTAGGTTTTAATATAAGGTATGAACACATAAACACAACTAAATGCAATAATATTTTTCTAATTTTTGGTCCAATTAGTTCAAACAGTTATCATATGTAAAATTAAAAAAAAATTATATTTTGGGATATAAGAGTGGTATCCTGGGAAATTCCGCTGCCACTTTTATCCCTGGGATCCCGGGAAAACAGGATCTCGGAATCCCGTTTAAGAAACCCTATTCTACACAATAAAAAAAAAAAAAAATTTAATAATAAGATCAAAACTTTGTTAACCAAAAAATAAAAATTTAATAAACTGCATAACTGTGATACTGTTATATAACTCTCAAATAAAAATATTTTACTGTTTGTGTCATCACAAAATCCAATAATCCCACAAATACAATAAACGAATCAAATATATTCCAAAAATCCTTGAAATAATTCTGAAAAAAAATTTTAATTTAAAATTTATTAGACTATCTATAATATTTTATAAAAATTATAAATAGCATAAAAAGTAACAATGTTCAAACATTTTAAATATAAAATAAGAAAATAGTTACACATCTTAGGGCAAATATTTTTATTGCAGCTTCTAAAACAAAAACAAAAATCAACACATTGTTTATCAAATTCATAACTTCTTCATACTCTTTTTTTTGTCCATCAAACTAAAAATTAAAAAAATTATTTGAAAACTAATATAAAAGTGTTTATGCAATATATGATAGTTCCAACTTTTAAACATTCAATACTTAAATTAACAATAAAAAATTTAATCTTTAACAGTTATAAAGTTAATAATTTTTAACATTAATAAAGTTTAACATTAACTCAAGTCCTCTCAAGTCTAACCTCTTAAATATGGATCTGATTTTATTACCTCTTGCAAGGATAAGGCAGAAGTATTTGGAAAGAAATTTTCCTCTAACTCATAACTATCATAAAAAAAACAACATCTTTATTTATCTCTACAGCTTCTATTGCTAAAGTTTATTTATTTTTACCTAAACTCTTTATTATTATAGAGACCAAACGCTTAGAGCTTAAAAGCTTGTGGTCTAGATAATATTCCTGTCTCAAAAGTGTTTTCCAGAAGTCTCTTCATTACTTTCCAAACTATTCAAAAAGTGGTCAACTGAATTTTTGTTTTCCTATTTGCTAGAAAAAAGCATGTGTGCTTCGAATTTTTTTTAACTATGAAGATTGTTCAGGCCCCTCAAAATCCAAATAATCTTAATCTTAAACTTCTAACTCAACTCAATAATCTTAACAAACTTCTAATCTTGAGTCTTCTGACAACTTTTATCCTGTATTCTTCTGACAACTTGCTAACTGTTATAACAGAAATATTCTATTGTGAATTAGTTGGAATTACTAAGGCCTATTGATTTTTTGGAAAAGAAAGTTGAGCACAGTACTACCAAGGATGTGGTGGGGATTTAACTTGGAACTTCTTTCTTATGAAGCAAGCTCTTTACCACTCTACCACTAGTAAACGAGGTAGTGTTAATTTATATTATTATTTTGCCATTACATAATGTTCATAGTTTACAATAAATTGTTGATGTTGCTAGTTTATGTTATATCATTGTTATTTTATATGATAAAGAAAAAAAAAGGAAAAAGTTGTTAAATACAGAAATACAAATCTTATTTTATATTAAAACAAATTTTAATTTTTTAATTTTAATAATTAACCATACAGTTTCTAATTTATACAGAAAAATGAGTGTTATTAAATACCTTTTTTAAAAATGAAAAATGACTTGATGTAAGACTTCACAAAAATGACTTGATGTAAGATTTCACAGTTGAAAAAAAATAAACATTCATTAAATTTTACAGTAGAAAAAATGAAAAATGACTTGATGTAAGACTTCACAGTAGAAAAAGAATAAACATTCATTAAAAGTTAAGTCAGGAACTTACCAAAAAATATTTCACCATATTTGTTTTAATGATAAAATTGACTTTATCTGATATGTTGCTACTCTTAAACTAGTCAAATTAGATGTGGTTTAGAAAACCGGCAAAAACTTGTCTGTCTTTTTTTTTTTAATATTTTTTTTTTTATCTAAACACTTCTAGGATTTTTGTTTAAAAAATGGTGATAATTCTTATTTTTTTTAAATAATGGTGACAAAGCTTGAACAAGAATATGAGATTTTTTATTATTTGTCACAAAAACTTAAGCCAGAAAAAGGAAAATACTGTGTTTTTTACTTACTAAAAAACCTTGATATTGTGTTTTTACTAACTAGAAAACCTTGATACTGTGTTTTTACTAACTAGAAAAGATACTGTGTTTATACTTACTAAAATTTATTATTATTTTACTACACATTAAACTAAAGTGTATTCATTTTGTTTCAAACATCTGTTCAATATATCTTTTTATTTTATTTGTCTTTCTTTTCTTTCTTATATTTTCCTTATTTCACTTAGGCTTGACAGCTCCGCCTAGTCCTTTGATGCATATTTTTGCTTTTTTTTTATTTTTATAAACAAAAGATTTAATTTTACAAGTAGGTTTTAAAATCATATAAAACTCAGTCATACTAGTATATTTAATACTACTAGATATATTAAGTATATTTAGTATATGATCATTATACATAATTTGCAATCATGTTAATAGTAATACTAGTAGCTCTGATTATTTTAAATATTCCAGTTATGCAAAATCTTTGGTGAATTTTGAAAAACATTTTTTTTAATGTGGTCTACAGTCATCTGGTCATCTGTTTTAAGAAGTACAAAATGTAATTTTTTAAAATGTACAATGTGTATTTTATGAAGTACAAGTGTGTGTTACCTCCATTAACATTGCAGCAGAGTTCAATGAAACCATTAATACAATAAATATCTCCCAGCAGCGTGACTCAATTAATGCCCAAACTTTGTATTTCAAACTTTTTACATCATTAGGCATAAAACGAGGCCGTGGTTTTGCTTTAATTACAAAATCTATGCTGTTTATCTAAAGAGAAAATAACATTTATATATCATTTTTTTTATTATACCATTACAATTTTACTATATTACTATTTGTCAATACAACTATTACTTTTTAAAAATAAATATTATTGTTGCAAAATCTCTTTAAAATAATAATATATATATACATAAAATAATATATATATATATATATATATATATATATATATATATATATATATATATATATATATATATATATATATATATATATATATATATATATATACATATATAATCTTTGCCTTTAAAAATGACAAATTTAAGTACACTTTATGTAAAAACCATTCAGTTTAATTGAAAAAACTAATTAAACTTTGTTTTTTGAAAAACAACAAAAATGCAACTTAATAGACTTTCATCTTTTTAAATAAAAATATTCTGAAATTTTTTAATTTTTTTTGCTATTTACAAACATCAATTTACAAACAGGTAAAAAATGCAAGGAGTGCTGCTACATTCACTGACTAATAGGTATAACATGCAAGAGGTGCTACTACATACTGAAAAAAAAAATATATATATATATATATGTATATATATATATATATATATATATATATGTATATATATATATATATATATATATATATATATATACGTATATATATATATATATATATATATATATATATATATATATATATATATATGTATATATATATATATACTTTTTTTCAAGACTATATATATATATCTATCTATCTATCTATATATATATATATATATATATATATATATATATATATATATATATATATATATATATATATATATATATATATATATATATATATATATATATATATATATATATATATATATATATATATATGTATATATATATGCGTATATATATATATATTTATATATATATATATATATATATATATATATGCATATATATATATATATATATATGCATATATATATATATATATATGCATAAATATATATATATATATATATGCATATATGTATATATATTTTTTATTTTGAACAAAGAAAAAAATAAAGAATAATGTAAGAAAAAAAGATTTCTGCTCTTAACCCAAACCCTTAGTCAGTGTAACAGCACTCCTAGCATATGTTAATATTACATCAGACTGCTTATCAAAGTAATCAAAATGCATATATATGCATATATATCATTGCTGAACGTAAATATAGCTTTGATCGCATCTCCATTTGTTTTGTGAAAAAATAAAGGAATTGAAGAAGACTAAGAACAAGCAACCAAAAACATAATACTAGTTAACATCTCAGGTAAACTTTCTGGCTGAATTTGTTAGATGGCAGGGGAAAAGGCAGAAGGACCAAGAGAAATAAAGAAAAAATATACGAAAAAGCCACATTTCAAGAAAAGGCAGACTAGTATACAGACTAGTATACAATCAAAAAGATATCCTGGATTCTAAAGATTCTAATGATAAATAAACTTAGCATTTATGTACATAAATTAGATTAACTTGATTCATATTGCATATTGCACGTAATTGCATATCTAAAACACATACAAATTTAATGTTTAAAATTTTGAATGGTTTACTGTAATTTAAGTAATTTATATCAAAAATGATAAACCAACATGAAGACAGACTCCTTTCAATTAATTCATAGCATACAACAACAAGACAAAAATGAATTAAATGGAAGTCTTGGCTGAGGTGGAATATACAGCATGCATTGCTAACAGCTGGTCTTCCATCAAGGTCAACAGGTGAAATTTCAACTATGGCATTTTTAAATACCTAACAACTGAGTTTTTTTTTGTGGCATCTTAATGCCTAATTATTAAAGTTTTTATTGACAGTATTTCAATTAGAAATATTACCAACTCAACATGGTAAAAAAGCAAAAAAAGTTTTTTTTTGTTAAAAGTACAAATATTTAGGAATTTTATGTTTAAAAAAGTAGTTGAGTTGCCGATTCTAGATGAAAAAGATTCAGGAAGTAGCAGTTGCATTTCCAAATATTTGCTAGAAACATTGTGATGAATTTTTTTGTGCATATATAAACACACAAAATAGTATATTAAGTCTAATGAATTAATAATACACAAGATAATATATTAAAAAAAAAAATACAAAAAGGAACTTAGTAATTAGAAAGTTCACAGAAATATTTTTTTTTTTGCAAATTCAAACTATAATGACCTAATACCTTATACTAGTTTATAAGTCGACAATTTTGTCAAAAGCTGTTATTTTTGTCTAAGTATATTTTACATATGCAATTGCAATTATTTTTCTTAATCAGTATTACCTAAAAGCCATTATTCCATTATTTCAATTAGCAAATAAATTATTTTTTTGCATGCACACTAATGCTTTGAAATGTTGAATTTTAAATACATTAATATAAAAAACATTTATCAAGTCCACTTACAAAATTTTCTGAACACAAGTCAACAACGAACCATTTGAGAACTGTTTTATAATCTAAATCACTTGAATGTAAAATTTATTTAGTTCTATTTACACGCTAGTGGCCTTTACTTAAGTTTTTTTTACTTTTTTTTTGTGGCTTCCAAATGAACTAATTGAAAGTTTTTTAATTCTTAAAATATCTAAACTTGTCCAAACATAAAAGTCCAAACTTGTTCAACATTTTTATTTTACATAAAGTAAATTTTACAATAAAATTCATAACATTTTTATTATTTAATAAAATAATCTTTTCCCATTTAAATTGGGATTTCACAATTCAGTGAAATGCAATATCATAAAACTTTTGAAAGTCAAAAAAACCCTTAATTGTTCCAAGTTTCTAGTGCCACAGAAGTAAAAAATTTGTAGAAACATCTGGACTGCATTGAAAAAATATATAGGAGATTTAAAGTCAATAAATAAATTCAATAAATAAATAAAACTCAACTATGAAGAACTAAAAAAAAAAAAAAATTCAATCAATAAAATATTTTTAAACAACATACAGAGTTTCTATCTAATTCTCCTTCAATTTCACCAGATTTCTTTTTAAATGTGTAAACAATCATTCCAACAAATAGACTTGTTAAAAAGAATGATATAGTTATTAGAAATGCAATAAAATAAAGTGATAACCAAATTTTGTTATTTCTCAAGGGACCTTCATCCACACCTTCACTGTCAACCCCACTTTGCATTAAACTAAAAGAAAATTAAATACCTTTTAACCTTTTTTATGTTCAGCAAGTAAAAAACTAATTGTTATTAAAACTAATTGTTATAACTATATTATAAATTATGTCATAAACAATTACAAAATAAATTATTACAAAAATAAAAATAAAAACAAAAAAATTACAATTAAAAACAAAATAAAATAAAAAAAACGAAACAATAAAAAAACAAAAAAATTGTTACAGCTTAAAAATAAATTTATGTTACACTACATTTAACAGCTTAAAAATAAATTTTTAAACTTGTTTGAAGTATTCAACAATATATGTAATATGCAAATAATTTTAGCAGAAAATAAAGTTAAAAGAAACTTTCAACTGCCAAAATACTATTTTCAAATTTTCTTCTTGACATCAAAATTTATAAAAAGTTTATTTTAAACATAACTAATGGTATATTTTATAACATAAGTTCTATATATAACTAAGTATAACTAAGTTCTATGGTATATAGCTAAATAACTAGATAAAAAATTGCCTAATAATTTTATGTTTATAGTAAAATTTTTTGAATAATCTAAAGTATTTATTAAATTTTATATTTCTGCTAAATTCAAGAAAAGACAATTTATATAGCTGTACACAAGTAAATGCGTTTTGAGCAGCTGTACACAAGAGAAGGTAAGTTTTACAGCTGTACTTGAAAGAATCTGCTAGAGAAGGTAGTTTTTATAATAATTGAATTTTTTGAAAAAAATAAAATGATTTGTTTTAAAATTGTCAAACTAAGGCTTTAAAATATTAAAAGATCAAATCTGTGGCCATTGGTCAGTTTATAAGTGGAAATATGACATTTTGCAGGAGAAGAGTTTGAAAATTCGATTTGTTGCCATAAATTGGTTAATAATGAAAAATAATTTTTTTGAAATGAAAGATCTAAAGAAAACAAAACTGCATACTTATGTTAAAGTTACCAAATTTGCACTTATCATAAATTGACCAATGAACACAGAAATATAATAATCTTATTAATCTCTTTAGCTGATAAAGTTATTGAAATTTATTATGATATATTAAGAGAATTTTATTTCTTATTTTGATAAATTTATCAGCTAAATCTAATTGCCAAATTAGCTAGTTTACCCACACTTAATCACAAACTTTTATTAACCAGTTTCTTGAATTTAGCTAGAATAGATTTTAAAGAGAATTTGCTTATATGGGTTTATAATATTTGCTATTAGCTTCTTATTTGCTAATATATTTGGATTAGCTTTCTATTTGCTGATTTATTTGGATTTATTGAATTTTATCTTTTTATAAAAAAGATAAAATTCATTAAAAGTTGTTCAAACATTCATAAAAATGTTTTATTGAAAAAATTACGGTATAAATAAAAAACTATAATAAATTTTATATATTAAATTTAGTTTTAGATTTCCAAACTCAGTGCAAAGCATTTTGTCAAACAAGTTTGTTACTTAGCAACAGTTACTGTGTAACTAGTTAAATTTTTGTGTTAAAAAAGGAAAAAAAAATGATTACCAGATTATGTTTTCAATACAGCTAATAATATAAATAATTGTATTATCAAGATAATAAAAATTTATTATGTTTATAGCATAACTTTGAATTACTGTTAAAAAAAGACTTGGTTGCTAAGTACATTTCTGAATTTTGGGTATAGTATTTTTTATTAAAAAAAAACTTACGCAGACCATCTCTCTCCACTTGATGATGATATCAATGATAATAATGCGAATCCAAAGTGGTTAAAATTAAAGTTATTTTTCTTCCACACTCTCTCTTTTTTCTAAAATATATTTTTTTTTTCGTATAAAAATAATATTTAGTATTACGAAATTTTTTTTAAAGAAGTGTACTTTTTTTGTCAAACTCAACTTGAAACATGAGTGCAAAATTCAACTTGTTTAAAATTAAAAAAACAACTATAATAAATAAATTAAAACTTAAATCTAACTTATAATTTTAACAAAAGAATAACTTAAAAGTATAATGTTCAATATTAAATAAAGTAAGGAAAACATGAGATAAAATCAAAAGTGTTAGGTAAAACTGAAAATTACTTAAAGTAATTTGTACTATAAAATCAATTTTAGGTGGCGTAACGTAAAATTGAGTCATGATTCTTTTATTTATACCTTGTATATTTGTTTTAGGGAAACTGTTCCCTAAAAAAAAAAAAATTAAAAACATAAATGGATGAAAAGGTAATGTTACACAAATATGGAACTGAGATATCTAGAGTTATGTTACTCAAATATGGAACCCCACCATGTCCCTGATAGTACCGCTCTCAAATTGTTTCTTGGTGCAGTGGCATTGTTCATTAAGTTGTTACTTAAATATGGAACTGAGATATCTAGAGTTAAAGCTTAGAACACAATTTTTGTTAAAAACATGAAATTAAAAATATAGTTTAACATTCAGAAAATTGAACTACTTTTTAATACAATTAAAAAAAACTTTGAAATAATTAACAAAAAAATATATCTACAAAAACACATGGTGTTGTGTTAAGTATTTATTGTGCACTATAGAGTTACCAAAAACATGTTGTGAATGGTGTTAACTCTACATGTATTAACATTAATGGTTTGATTGTTTAAGTTTAAGAATATGATTCTATTACTAAGTTCATTAATGTTTATTATTATAAAGTATATTACTTAGTCATTACTTAGTTTATTAATATCAAAAGAGTACAATAATTTTGATTTATAAATGTAATACCACATTAATTTATCCAAAACAATAATCCTAATTAATTGATTCTTTTACAATGTAATATACTTAAATGTAATTAAAATAAATTCTTTTAATCTTGCATCTACAATTTTTACATATAACTCTTCCATATATAGAGATAATGAAATACCATTACAGCCCAATGCAACATTCTTATGTATGTAATTTCAAAAAGACTATCTAAAATTTAAGAATTTTTCGTTGTTTTGCTTTTAAATTTGTTATATTACTTTCTAATTGCTATACTTTTGTGTTTTTTACCTAAAAATACACGAATTTCTGAGTTTAATGGGGAAAGGGTCCTAAATTAGTGATTTTACTGTGGATATTCTTTAAAAATCCCCCCAACAAAAAATATTTTTGAAAAAGATTCTATAGTTATATAGAAACATAAACTTAAAAAATATTTTCAAATGAATGCACAAAAAATACTTAAAACAATGTAGAAACGGAAAAAAAATACTATAAAACAAGTGAAGATGAAAGAAAAAAAATAAAACAAATGAAGATGAAGAAACCTTAAAACAATGTAGAAACAAAAAAAAAATTGTTTTTTTTTTTCATTATATCCAATTAATTTTTTGAAAACATTTGGTCTTTATTTCATATTATTTTATATTTTAGTTTTAGTTTTAAAACAAAAACTATTTAACAATTAATTTGACAAAAATTAATAAATCCAGATATAGATCTATACAAAAACAACTTTCTTACAACAAGGAAGTTGTAGTTTGATTCATCAAATGAAATAAAAAATTCCCTAAAACAAAAAAGAAATTAATTTAAAGCCAAAATAAATAAAAAACAGTAATAAAAAAACAAAAATAAAAACCTGCAATCTTTTTCTTTTATTTTTGATTCATCTGTACAATAGTTAAACTGCCCCTGTAAAAAATACTTAATAACAATAATAAAATAAAAAATTATTTAATAACAATAATAAAATAAAAAAATATTTAATAACAATAATAAAATAAAAAATAAAACCTATTAGTGCAAAGAAACACCTCTTTATAAATAATAAAAAAAAGAAATCTATACCTGAAATAGTTGCACACCCATTACTGCAAAAATGAAATAACATTGAAAAATTGCTGCCATTATCCCACTAGCATTTTTTATTGAAGAACCAATGCATTGAATAATTAGCTAAAATAAAAATTTGTTTAAATATTAATTTTAAAAAAATCAAAAAATAAATCTTAGTTGTTACATTATATTACTTTGTGAAATTTAATTCTGTGTAACCATAAACACCTGATTGTAAAAAACTCCTTTTTTTTTTGAACTTTCAAAAAAAACTTTCAAGAAAATTCTAAACAGTAAAAACAGTAAAAAATAAAAAATAGGTATTTATTTAAATAATTTATTTAAATATGTTTTATTTGTAACTTCTTAAGTTTAATTGAATTAATTTTATTAAATTTTTTTAATAATTCTTTTTAACTACAAAATTTTAAACTTTGTAGATAAATATTAAGATATTAAATTTGTTAGATATTAAATTTGTTAGGTACAAAACTTTGTAGATAGTATTACTAAATATTAAGATAATAAATTTTTTAGATATTAAGTTTAAAATCTTAGTAAAAATAAATTTAGCTGGAAAATTTTTCAATTTTTAAATTGTTAACAGAAATGAGGAAAAATAGAAGATTTAAGAAAAAAAGGAACAAAGAAAAAAATAAAGGTAACTCTAAATCTGTGCCTTCCTTGGATGTTAATGTGAGCCATAAAAATTTATTTAAACCATAAAAGATAAAAGTACTTTAAAAATTTATTAATAAAGTAAACTTTGTAATTAACTTCATAAACTAACCTTTAACTTTGGAATATTATTGACTGATTTTAGGCAACGAAATGCTCGAAGCAAGCGAAGAATCTTCAAAAATGATTTCACTTTAGCTGGAGTACTTTTGATCATGCTTTGTGTTTTGAAAAAATTAAATTGTGTATATATATATATATATATATATATATATATATATATATATACACATATATATATATATATATATATATATATATATATATATATATATATATATATATATATATGTATATATATATATATATACACACACATATATATATATATATATTTATATATATATATTTATATATATATACATATATATATATATATATATATATATATATATGTATATATATATATATATATATATATATATATATATATATATATATAGTTATATAAATTGTTGGCTTTGAGAGTACAGAAGGTAAAAAATGATACTTTTGACAACAAAATATGTCACTTTTAATTACTTTAGACTTTCATTCAACATTTCCGTGTTGTCATAAAGTTAAAACCATTAATTTAGTCAATTTTTATAAAAAACTGCAAAAACGCAAATTTAATTGACCAGAATGTTTTTAAAAATATAAACAATGTTTTCATGTTTTTTTTAAAATAAAATGTTTTTACTTATATTTTTTTTTTACTGTAAATCATGGGCAAGTGTGATTCGCAAAGGAGTACTGCTACATCGACTGAGTTTGGTTTGGACTGGCAGTCTATCAAATAATTAAAGAAAAAATATATATTTTCTGATCTTGCATTAAAATTTTTTTTTTAACATCAACAAAATATTTTTGACTCGTTAGTCAGCAAATGTCAACCCTTTTAATATAGGTTAGTCGGTAATTTAGACAGTTAGTCGGCAAAAGTTGTAATAGCACCCCCTCCACATGTCACCTACTCGTGCTGGCCCTGTATATATTTATATATATATGTATATATATATATATATATATATATATATATATATATATATATATATATATATATATATATATATATATATATATATATATATATATAATCATTTCAAACTTTAATTTGAATTTAATATTTACTTAGAAAAACCCTTATAAATATTAAAAGCTTTTTCTCATATTAAAATTTAATAGAAAACCTAATTTTAATTTACATGACCTAAAGTCCTTTTTACTTTTTTTATAAGTTTGTATTAATAATAGGTAAGAAAAACATAAAATTTACATATTTACAGGTCTATGTAACTGGACGACTCCGTTGGTAATTTTTTGCAATCTTTGTGTTGCATAAACAATTAAAAATTATTCTTTGTGGCTGGTGAGCCCTGACTTCTTCCAATGTACACTACAACAACAAAATGGACATTAGGCTATCCCCACTGGATGAAGTTATGGCACTCAATAACCTATTTACAATGCTGACAACCACGCACTTGTTCATTCACAATGCATGTCAGATCAGCGTTTGCTGACTAAGTGCTTGGATCTAAAATCTCACTTTGTAGCACATCATTCCACACCAGTATGGGGTTGTAGCTCTTTTGGCTAAGAGTGATGACTTGTGGCCATTTTGTAGGTCTTATGTCTCACTCTGATGTGCTAGCTCATATGTGCAAGAAGTGAGTGTGTTTAGCTTTCTATTCACCCAATTTGAAAGTGAACGAAAACATAATGAGACCATACTAGAAAACCAAATGGAACATACTAATGCACTACACCATTACACTTGTAGACATCAATAGTCTCTAAAATCAGTAGATCAAATATTTTTTCTTTGTTGCATATGTTCTACACACAGAGTGACTAGAGCGTTAGTTGTTTCTCCTTATGCCCCCTTAGCGTCCATTCTTTGTTCTTCTACTTCACAAAAGTCTTCCCACACATTTTATATTTTCTTATGATTTTTATTTTTTATTCAATGACACCATCTACACTCTATTTTTATTTTCACATCTCCTAAGTCTACATAACTGGACGGCTCTGTTAGTCACTTTTTGGGATCTTTGTGTTGCATAAACAATTAATAATAGGTAAGAAAAACATAAAATTTACATATTTACAGTAGATAGCAGTAAGATTACAGTAGATTACAGTAAGTAGATTACAGTAAGATAGCAGTAGATAGCATAAGGTCTAAGTTGTGAAACTATAAATGTTTATTAATATTGATACAAATTTGTATTTGGATAGGTTCAAAGATTTTACAGTGGATAGGTTCACAGATTTTATGAAATCATAGAAATTTTTTATTTCTTTTTTAAGCGCAAAAACATGTTTTTAAAAATCTTTTTTCAATTGTATTTTTAATTTTTTCCTTTTAGTTTTTAACTTTTTATATGTAAATATAAGCATGTTCTTTTAAAAAAAAAGGTTTCTTTGAAAGTATTTTATTTTGTACTTTTTATTCTCAAAACTTTGATTTTTTAACCAATTTAATTCAATTAGTTAAACTTCATAGTCAATAATTTAAATGTGATGCCCTATAACGCTCAGTTCTCAGCATGTACTCACTATTAACTTGGGTGGTAGAGACAACAGCTAAATATCATGGGGAATTGAACTATAGAATGAAAGTTCCTTAAAAGAGACTCTTAAAAGAAAATGTTCAAAACAAAAACTTGATCCAAATCAAATATAGCTCTTAATCTGGTATGACAAAAAGTTATATTTAAACCTCACATTTTCTAAAAGAGAAAGGGCATCATTAGAAGATCCGCCCCAGATATGGCAACAGTATTTCATACAAGGCTGGATTTGAGATTTATAGAGATAGAGAATAGAATCCAGAGTAAGAAAGTGTAGAGCTCGATAAAGAGATGCAACTTTAGCAGATGCTAATTTTGCAACGGATTTAATATAAGGTTTCCAAGAAAGATCAGAAGTGAGAGTTAATTACCGTAATGTATATATTTATGAACGGTACTCATCGAAAACATAGAATCTGGAGTAGGAAAGTGTCAATAAAAGTTGCAACATTAGCATATGCTAATTTTCCAATGAATTTGATATATGGTTTCCAAGAAAGATCAAAAGTAAGAGTTGATCCTAGAAGATAGAGGTTAGATGACTCATCAAGTACATTACCGTTCCTAAATATAGAAAGATCTAAAATAATTGCAATAACAATTGGCTAAAAAAATTGAGTTTTATCTGAATTAAAGCTCACTTGTCACTGTGAGCCCCATGCTGTAAATGCAGAAATGAGATCCTTTTCAAGCTCAAATGCCAAGCAATCAGAGAATGTTGGCTTCCTATCATGAAAAGAACAAATGTAAGTTTAACCAGCAAACAATGCCACCTTAGATGTGAGAATTATTTATGTAAATTGAAAAAATTATAAGGTCAAGGATTGAATCTTGAAGAACTCCTGAAGTTACAGAATAAGAAGTAGAGGGTTGTCCATCGAGGACAACTTTTAAAAAATTGTAAAGAAAGGATTTAATAATCTTAAAAGTGTTACTGTAAAAGAAAGCTTTTGAAGAAGACCAGCATGCCAAACTTTATCAAAAGCTTTAGAAATGTCAAGAACGATGGAAATGCAGCAGCACATTGTAAGGAAAACCATGGAGAAAAGTAAGGCTTGACCTGAAATTGTGGAGAGGGAATAAAAGATTCCATGCCAGCTTGAATCCACAAAATTGTGTAAGAAGCACATTTGTCAGCAAGAAGATGAAAGATTTCTATCCAAGGGCCATCGCAAATAAAATCATGGAAATAGTCTCAGTCAGCTTTAAGGTAGTTGTAAGAGGTGCAATGATAGAGGGATTCTGATGATGAAGAAGAATGAAATAGCAGTTTTAGAGAGATCAAACTGTGATCAGAAATACCAAAAAGTGAATGTGGAGAAACTGAGCACTGAATAGGATTAGAAACAAGACAAGTAAGAAACAAGTCAAGTAAAGAAGGTAAATGACTTGGATTGTGTTGAAAGCAAGTTGGAAAGTAGACTATTTAGTTAGGCATTGAGAAAGGCAAAAGTTGTGGGCTTTAATGCCTGCAGAGTCACTGACATTAGAGCCAAGCCATTCTGTGTGATGAGAATTGGTCACCAACAACAATGATATTGGAGAATAAATAAAGATAAAAGGCTTGGTCAATTTAATCAGAAATAACATCAAAAAGAGTGCAGTCTTGTGATGAAGGAGAGCGATATAGAACAAAGAAAAAGGCAATAGAGTGAAGTGTTGCTAAACGAAAGCACACAAAGGAAAAGTCTGTAGATTCAAACCTAGTTTCCCAACAAATTTGTGAATTCTAACAAAATGTAAATGCCCAAGCCAAGCATGTGATTATTGGAGTCTTTACAAATTAGAGGAAGATAACCATCAACACTAAAATCACAAAATGAGACAGCTGAACTTAAATTAGCCTCACAAAAAACATGTAGGTCTGGTGAACTTTGGAAGATAAAGATAAGACTCAACAGAAGAAAATGTACTTTAAAGGCCACGAATATTAGTGAATGATAGGTTTAGAGAACTGACAATGGTTTTTTTGTTATAGTATTTGGCACTTTATTCATTTTTAAATTTGGTAAAGAACTTGACTCAAAGCATAGATAGTACTCAGTACACTGATAAATAGTCCAAGCAATAGTCTCATGTATTTACTTTTCATGTATTGAAAGAAATTATACATTTCTTTCAATAAATGAAAAAAAAAATTTACACTTCACTTTATCCAACTACGTCACTGAGGTCTTTAACTTAATATTTTACTTGGCAGAATGTTCTATATAAATACTACATAAGCATATATTTTGTATAAGTAAAACAAAGAAATAAAGATCAATATTGAGATTTGAAACCTTGACCTTCCAAAGAAGGTATTTTTCCTACTCTACCAACTACTTGACAGACTACTTTATAATTATAGATTTTGTTGGGCAGAAAATTTTGTTGAATATTCTATATTAATATTATGCAAAATATACAAGTGTATGAAAAAATAAATGTCAGTCGAGGATTTGAACCCTTACCTTCTAGTAACTAAACTATTCCTTTGTCTAAACACATGCATCACTAAAGCCACAATATATTTCTTAAAAGAATTAATTTAAATGTTTATTTAAATTCTAAAGCTAAAAATATATCAACACATAGGTAATGATACTTATTTCTGAAAAAGTCCTGAAAATTAATCTTTACAATTATGAAAATAAAAGATTTCATTTGTGAGGTTTTGGAGGCATTTGTACAATTTTCACGATCATCAGGAGTGATGGCTTTTCTTTCTTGCAAATATTTTTAATGAGTATAGAACTGCCGATATTGGAAAGATTTTTTGTGCAGTTGACATTATTGAAATGGACAATGGTTTCCTTTCTTAATCCTAATATTCTTAATATTGCATTATTTTATTCACAAATGCGTTCTTATCATGTATGTCTACTGAATTTTCTTTTTTTTACTGTATGTGGTAAGAATTTTGGTTCAGCTGAGTTTAACAGATATTTGTAGTTTTGAATTTCAACAGTCACTTGAAATTTAAATTTGTATTTTGTTTACCACATGTATATTGAATTTGGGTCTTTCGTAAATATATGTCGCGGATATTTACATACAAAAACTTTATCTCAATTGTACATTATTTAAACACTTTTAGCATCTGAAAATGGTTGTATTGTCATCAAAACTAAGCATGTTTAGAAAGTATCAAAATTGTTGAAATAGCAGAAGTGATTGGAATTCCGATTACAAGATTTGAAACATACAACATAAAAACAGTGAGGTAAATAAAAAGGTGTAAAAATACATGAAATTGCCAAATTATCAAAACAGATTTGAAGACTTTTCAGAAAAATCTGGAAATCCTTGACAATTTAAAATTTTAACTAACCTTAAAACAACTGAGATAATGCTAGTTAGCACAATAAACAAATCAAAGCAGTTCCATATTTCTCTACAATAAGCTCCATTATGAAAACAAAAACCAAAGTTGATGATCTAGAGTAAATAATAAAACCAAAGTTGATGATAATAAAAACCAACTTAATAGCTATGATTAAATAACAAAAAATTCTTATGAGTATTTAATACAAGTTTTGATTGAAAATTTGTCCTCTTGTTTGTTGCCAAGAAACTTATATTATTTATTACTACCAAGGTAATAGTGCATAAAAGATAGTCTTAAAATTTAACCACTCTGTTTGACTACAAATTTATTTTTGTATTCAAACATGCACATAGTAGTAGAAATAATATGTTTGAAAAAAATCTCCACCAAAAACAGTTTGCACTTTCAAAACCACTATACCTTAAACAATTGTATTCTAAATTTTGAAAATATTCTGTCACCACGCAGTAAATTCTGTGGACTTTTAAATATCTTTTTACTAAATTAGAATTTTACAGATGAATTTTACTTGGGTTCACAACAGTAGAGTTTTTTTAAAATGCTACTACTATGTTGAATAATGTGTTAATTGCAGTAAATAACAGGTTGCAGATTTAAAATACAATTAACATAGCTTTGCTTAGTATTTTAGTCTTGTGGTAAAAACCGCAAGTTTATTAATAGTTTATTAACCGCAAGTTTATAAATTCTTTTTTAATTACTGCTGCTACAGCAGTAATTAAAAATAATTAGTAATTAAAAATTAATTAAAAAAGAATTTCAAAAATTTTTAGTATTGCTCAGATCAAAGTGCCAAAAAAAAAAATTTCAAAAAGATTTTTCCAAAAAAGATAGAACTCTGCTTCACTTGTTTTTCCAAAAAAGATAAAACTCTGCTTCACTTGTTTTTCCAAAAAAGATAGAACTCTGCTTCACTTGTTTTTCCAAAAAAGATAGAACTCTGCTTCACTTGTTTTTCCAAAAAAGATAGAACTCTGCTTCACTTGTTTTTCCAAAAAAGATAGAACTCTGCTTCACTTGTTTTTCCAAAAAAGATAGAACTCTGCTTCACTTGTTTTTCCAAAAAAGATAGAACTCTGCTTCACTTGTTTTTCCAAAAAAGATAGAACTCTGCTTCACTTGTTTTTCCAAAAAAGATAGAACTCTGCTTCACTTGTTTTTCCAAAAAGGACAGAAAAGAAGAAATTGTTACGCTGAACAGAATATAATTTCTTTTTAAAATCAATCAATTAGGAAGACTTAAAAATAGAGTTAAAAACATTACTTTGAGTAAACCGTATGATTTCTTAAAATTCAAATTAAATATTTTTAGCCAAAACTAATTGTAATGTAATATATGACATCTTAAAATAGCTTGAACTACAAGTACTCTCAAGTCCTTAATACAAGAGGGGACAATTATTAATATTTAGAAAATTTTCCCACCCACCCTACGCTTATTAAGACCCTTTATTAAAGTTTATTAATTTTTACTTGTTATCAACAAAAAATTCATTTCTTAAAACTAAAAAAAATACAGTGAAAATTAGTTAAAAAATTAGAAAATAATTTCAGAAATTCAAAAATTTTTAGAAAATTTGACTTATAATAAAATAGTTTTATGCGTGCTTTGTAAAAATATTAGTTATTTATAAACTAATATTTATAATCTATAAATATTAGGATTTATAAAATGAAATATTTTGTAAAAAATACTTATATAGTAAGATGGCATTAGATTGGAAGTTTTCATGAACTGACTGAAATAAATATAGTTTACACAAAAAATGCTTTAGACATTGTGTGTTTTGGTCTTTTGTGTTCAGCATCTTTTGTCATAATGGAATTCCTTTATTCAGTTTTAGAATTTTGATATTTTATTATGCATGAAAGAAAAAATTTGCACCCACCCTTTTATTAACCTTTCCCCCACCTTCCCCCATTTATTAAATGTAAACTAAAATACCACCCAGCCTTTTATTTCACCCCAGCCTGTATTAAGAGCTCAAAGATACTCAAGGATAAACATCTGAAAATAGAATATAAAATAGATACAAAAATAGAAAATTGATTCAAACTGGATAGCTGGAAAGAGTATCATCACCTGAAACAATAAAATAATAATAAAACAATGTGTAGGATTTTCATTGGACTAGGACCCCACCTATGCATTATCACTAAGAGAAAAGAAATTTAACAGAGGAACTGGACAAAAGTTGAGCAAACCTTTTTTTGTTGATTTAATATTTCAAAGTGAAACTTAAGTTAAAATATTTAAAATATAAAACCTTGATTTTATTTTAAATTAAGATACATGAGGTTGACAAACTTCAATGTTTAAAAGTATTGAAAAGAAAATTTGTGAAGGAGGGAATTAAAATCAAGATTGCAGCCAAAGGTTAAGTACTTGTTGAACAAACAAAAAGCTCTGCAGAAACGCTTTTTCAAAAAGAAAAATTCCTATTTCAGAAATAAATAAATTTTAAAATAGTGGTAATAAACAGGGGGTCACAGTTCTAAGCATATTTAGAAGCTAGTAAGGAAAAGACTTATTAAAAATAAGTTAAGGAAAAAATTAAGTGAAGAAGTTTTTTAAATTACTATTTTGATGTCTTCCAGAAAGAAAAAATGCAGGTATGGGGAGGGGGATGAGGGTTTAACCAAAAACGCATAAATGCATATAGGAAGGGAACAGGGGGTTTAAGACAGCAAGTACAAATGCGATTAGACTTTCTCTATTTCTCCTAAAAGTTGGTTTTTCATTAACAAAAGCAGTTAACAATTTTTATTAACAAAAATAATTTTAAAAAAAGAATTAAAAAAAGCATTGTTATGTTTTTTTTAATAAAAAAGAGGAAAACTTTGCATTAAAATGTTTTGAAAAATTTTTGCCTCAGAGAAAGGTTAATTTAAAGGTAATTTTGTAATAAATAGTGCATACATACGCAGAGGAGGCATTAAAAGCAAACATGTGCATACAAGGGGGAAAGGGTCCTAAATTAGTAGTTTTACTGTGGACATTCTTTAAAGATCCCCCTAACAAAAATCATTTTTGATTCAACTAGTTTACAGTAAAAATATTAATAATTGTCAAAAGATTCTAAAGGTAGAAATTGACATTACAGACAGATTTTTTAATAGCCAGTTTAAATATTATTAAAAAATGACAGAATGTTAATTTAAAAAAAAGGTAACTATGCAGAAAGAATAGGCAATGAAAATTAAAAATATGGAGGCATAAACAATTTCTTTATTATTTTCTTAGCAAAAAAATGTGGCTGAATCTCATTTGAATTTCAAAAAAATATTTACTTCATAGCTCAAGCTTCATAGTTTCAAGATTATCTATAAAGTCTGCTTAAAGCCATGTAACCATGGCTTCAAGCAGGCATCATGAATAATCTATAAAGCTCAGATCACTATAATTTTCCAGGCTCTGATCACTTTAATTTTTTGTGAAACATTCTTATTTGACACCAGTATCAATATTACAAAATTTAAAGTTTGCACATTTTCTGGAAGTTTTATAAGCATCAAAAAACCTCTTTAAATTCCTTTTTTTAAGATGTTGACAAAATATTTTCAAAACATAAAATAATTTTAAGGT